TCACAGTACTTCTCGATAGATCCAACCTTGGCCTTTGCTGAAATTCCAAGTTCGATCGATCCAACATCACCTTCGATCGATCGAACCCTATTTTGTCCTATTCAAATGATTGATCTTATCCACAGCTGTACGCCTACCAACCACTTTTGTCCTTTTCCCCATAAATATCTTCGAAATATCTCAGCCTTGTCCTTATCCGGGGGAGTCAGACCACTTCGATCGATCCAAGATGCAGTTCGATCGATCGAACCCATCTTCGATCGATCCAAGTTAAGGTTCGATCGATCGAACTTCCTCCAGCGAGAAAAAGTTAAAGTCCAGCTCATTTATTCCGTCCTTCACCCAATCATTGGAGAATATGCCTTGCACGACCACAGCTCATCATAGGGTGTATTTGACCTACCTATATAAGGAATATGATACACTTTTTGGAGGGGAGTCTAGAGTCTCTTGTCACACATTGAAAATCATCTTGGAGGCTATTCTTGGAGAGGAGGAAGGAGGGAAGCTAGAGCACCATTGGAGGAGATCTTCACCATCAAGGAGCAGCCACGGAGTTAGCCCTTGAGGGTTGGATCTTCACTACCATGAGTGTCTAGACATCCTCTTGGGGCTAGAGTTAGCCCCAAACATGCTTTCTATACTCTAATCTTGTGTATTATTGAGGGATTAGTGTTGTATGATACATCTTGATATTCATGTATATATAAATCTTGATTATTTCATGGTTTGTATGGTTTAATGCTTCCAATTGACTCTTCTATTCTACCCATATGTCTATATATGCTAGAGTAGGATATTCATGTGCTTATCTCTAGATTTAGTGTTTTTTATGCATGTCTATGTGTATTGATGCTATAGATCTAGAGATTATCAAGATGATATGCTTAATGAATGCTATTTTGGTTAATTTGATGGTTTATGCCTATTCTTGATGGCTTGTGCCTCTCCCCTAGTCTAGATAGCTTTATTTTCATGCTAGTAATGTAGATTTAGTGTAGTGATAGTGTAATGTTAGATGAGAGAACAATCTACTCTTAATGTTTGATGTTCCATGCTTGTGAGTCCAAATGGCATATTCCTCTAATATTGTGTTGTATGTGGATTGTGAGCTTAATGAAGGATTAATGACTAGTTATGATATGTTGTATCTTTCACATGTGTTTAGATAATTTATTCCTCTCCCAATAGATAAATTGTGGCCTCTCACATGATGTTTAGATAATGCATGTTTAACTAAGTCATCCTTATGGATTGCTTGGACTATGAGCTTAATGAAAGGTTCAATGACTTGATTTGATATTTTGTTCTCTTCACATGATGTCTAGACAATATATTCCTCTACCAATAGATGTATTGTGGCCTCACACATGTTGATTGAGACAATTTGCACTTGTTGAGTCACCCTTACCAATTGAATGTCTTTTATACACACAACATTGTTGCAACACATTCATTTCCCTCATTAGTCACTTGATTATGGTTTGGAATAGTATTGTTTGGTGGTGATCTCTACACCCCAAGACCTTTCCTTCTTACTTACTCTTTATCTCATTGCATTTTAATTAATTCTTTTCTAGAAGTAATCAACCAACCCAATTCTCTTTTGCAATCATTTGGTACGCTAGAGTCGAAGTTGAAATTCCAACACGTATAATCCCTTGGGACGATCCCTACTCACTCTTGCTACGTTAGTAGTAGTGTTGGTAGTGGTTTTTATAAATTTAAATTTGACATAAAAGGCTTTTCTTGAACCACACATTCACTACATTCAGTTTGGCGTATTGGAACGGCCGTCGTCACCCACTATAAAAGAACACATGTGGCTTGTAGCTGCCAATGGCAAGCATCGGATCATCCATAGTTATCTTTGACTTGGTCACCAAGGATCATAACTCCCCATTCCTACAATATCTCCTACTTTATATAAGATGTTCCAAATATCATACAATGGTTATGGCATGCAAGGAATGCCAAAAGTGGACTTATGTCCAGATTCATTGAAGAATTTTAGGGAGTTTTGCTAGATTTTAACAAAACTACCTAAAATAAAAGGTTAGTGGTTAAAGTAATGCTATATAAAAGGTTACTCGTTAGAGTAATGCTATTGCAAGAGCCTCTCCCAAAAAGTTTTAAAAGCTCGCGCTTATAAAGCACATAATTCCTATTTTTAGGGATTTGGGAGAGAGAATTAATTAAGGAAAGAAGCCAAAACTTTTTTCCTCTGTCTTCTACATGCTCTCTCTCTCTCTTGGTTAACCAACCCTCAACCAATTTGCCTTTTTCTCTCTCTTAGTTTGAACACATAAAGTTTTTAAGATAGGGCTATTCTAAAGCTCAAAAACATGAAAAAAAAAAAAAAACAAATCAAAATATAATTAAGCAACACATAAAACTTTTGCGATGATGTTATTCCAAAGCTCAAAAACGTGAACAAATAAAAAAAAAAAAAATCTCAAATAGAATGAAATAGTGTCACGAATATGATAGATGAAATCTAACTTACGAGAACCTAGTATGTCAGTAGCTAAGAAGGATGGAATGCAGGTGGACCGTGGAGAGACTCTTTGATCGAAAGACAAAGGGTTAACTATGAGAGAGAAATAGACAGATTCTTTGAGAGTTAATCAAGAGACAAAGAAAGAGACAGATTCTTTGAGAGTTAATCAAGAGACAAAGAAAGAGACAAATTCTTTGAGGGCTAGTTTGGTGTGGTGGAATGAATTGGAATGGAATAAGAATGGAGGTGGGAATGGAATGGAATGGTCATTCCTTTTGTTTGAAGGTAGAATGATTTTAATGGAATGACCATTCTCCAAGAATAGTGGGGAATTCCAACTTTAAAATTGACACTAAACACGAAAAATGGAAAAAAAAAATCATTCCATTCCACTTTCTTTTATTCCATTCCACCACACCAAACTAGCCTGGTTAATCAAGAGAGAGAGAAAGAGAGAACGTGGAGAGAAGAGAGAGAAAAAAGTTTGATTTGTTTCCTTAATTTCGAAGGATTCTTTCTTAATTAATTGTCTCTTCCAAATCCATAAAAATAAGAATTGTGTGGCTTATAAGTGCGAGCTTTTTAGACTTTTTGCAAGAGCACTCTCGCAATAGCACTACTCTAATTCAAATTAGTAAGTGACGTGTATGTAATGTGGTATGTGTGTGTGTGTGTGTATATATATATATATATATATATATATAAATCAGAATTCAAAAAGGAGAAGGATTCATGCACATAAAGAAGAACTATCCGATCATGGGACACCTGGCACTACATAGACGTGCCAGGTGGAAGTTTCCAACTATGGATGAAACTGCCATCTCCAATTGTTGGGAAGTTACCAAAAATTGGTGGGCAACGTGTATAGAAAGAAACAACTCCCTACAAACTAACAAGTTGTCAATAATCATTATGGGAAGTTGTTGAACTTATGGAAGGTTGTGATCCTTTTCCATTGGCGGTTTCAAATGTGGGTAAAAGTTGTAACATACTTTGCACCACTAAATTCACTTTTTTGGAGCTGTAAATTAAGGGGAAACATATTTTCACACGTGTAAGCACCATGAGAAAGCTGAGGAAAACATGGGACACGTGGCATGATCCAAACCTTCCAGGTTGAAGTTTCCAACTATTACCAAAACCGCCCTTTCCACCTCGCAGTTCAAAAATATGAATAAATGCTTGCAACATGCATTCAACCACGAAGACCAATCTTTATAAGTTGTAGATCATGAGAGAATATGATTTTACACATGTCAACACTTTGAAGAAGCTGGAGAAAACATGGGACACGTGGCACAATCTGGACGTTTCACTTGGAAGCATCTCCAACTATTGCTGGAGCTGCCAGCTCTAACTGCTGCAAGGGAATTTTATAAATATGATACTTATGTGCAGCAAGCAAACCCTATTCAACACACACAACAACATATCACTTTGCTATTCAATTTCAACTCAATTATCTCTTCAGTCCAGTAATGAATTTACATTATGTTTAATTTAAGTCTAGCACTTTCTTTTCTTATTTTCTGGCAAGTAGTTCCTAACTGTTTCAATTGCAAATCGTACACTTTCAATTTCGTTCTTCTTTCCACTAGCACTAGAACTATCCCAAAGTCATTTTGCAAGGCAAAAAGAACACTTGTAAGTGGTCATTCAAAGCTTCCTCTCAATCATTTGATCTCGACAACTTTCTATTGAAATATTATTTAGAGCTCCCATTTGGAAGGACAGCAGTTCCTGGCACATCCGCAACTTTTCCACTCGCACGAAATGGACCACTTTTTATGAGCCAAACAGTAAGCACGTACTACTTAAAATGAGATAAAATTTTAATTGATAGGGACATCACTTGAATGCTCAACACTGAAAATTCTGAAAGATATTAAAAAAATATTTATTTATTAATTAATAGTTAAAAACTTCAATACTTAAAATTTAGTTCTTAAAATTTTCAGTACTTAATTTTAAATTTTATTAAACAATACATTTAATATATTGCTGTATTATCTTCCAACAATTTGTTGGGTTTATGGCTCACGATTTGGGGAGTAAGTTTTGGCTTATTCATACGGTTAACGACATTTCCACTGCTAACAAAGGAATCTAGATCCCTCTTGTGCCGTGTCCTGTGTCATTATATTGTTTATTTAACAAATGTATCAGTTGTACTATTATGCAGTGCGTGCACTAATAATATAATAGCACATAGACCAAGGCATCTAATCCATTAAAATACTAGAAGTTATTAGATGGTTTTGGTCCATTAACACTTGGTGGACTAGTTAAATCTAGACTCTCGAAGTAAGAAAATGGTCCCATAAGAGTATAATAATATATTATAAAGAAATTTTAACATTAACTTTCATTGAATTAGTCCACCATACAAAGATCATCTAATAATTTCTCATAAAGAGGAGGTCCATTTAGGGACTAAATCTGCTCCCACTCCAAACTTGCTTAGGGTTTTTAATTATTTTACCATACCCATTTAACCATATTTAGAGAGCTACTAAATCCGCTCCATTGGGAACGGAACGGGGGCGAAAACTTGCCCGGTCGGAACAAATTATCAATATACGACGGGTCATTATAATTTGAACTAATATAGGAGCGGTGTGTATAATATGGATAAACCTTAAGGATCAGTGTATTTTTTTCTAAAATATTCCCCTTACAGGTTACAACGGGTTGAGATTCAGACCATTTCATCCAAATCCTCTATACAAAATTACCTGACAGTCCCGACCTCCAATCCGATCAGATGGAGTTCTGGTTCCATGAACATGGAGGAGAGCAGCTCCTCAATAACATCTATGGCGATACTGAACGGTTTCCCGCCGCCTTCGACCATGGCTTTGGTGGTGGGTGTCTCCGCCGCAGAGGTTGGAATGCAAGGATTCTGAAGGAATAGGTATTGTTTTTTTCTACATTTCATTTAGTTTTGGGTTCAATTTCTCGTTATCATTCCTAGCTAATTTCCGTTTCTGAAGTTGAAACTTTTGATAGACATTTCTGGATATATTCTGAACCACTGGAATGTGAATTATTGTAATACACAATTCTATTTGAAGAAAATATACTCAAATTACATAATATATTTCTCTGCTCATTTGTACTTTTGTGATTAAATTTATTAGTCACAGCTGTAAGAATTGTGCATTGATGGCAATACTCAAAGAAAGAATTGAAGGAAAAAGGAAAAAAAAAAAAAAAAAAATTCATATTATCTTGACATGGCTTGCGCAGTATGAGGTTTTACACCAATTATGACAATGCTCATTTAAACTAGCACTATATGGCAACACCAGAATGGTGCATTCCTAGCTTAATTTATTGTGTTTCTTTATTGTGAGTACATTTTACATGTAATTGGAGGATCTCTACTAATAGTGAAGATACATCTCATTAATGTATTGATAAAAGTTCTAACTATTTACTGAAAACTATTGCTTGGGTGAGAAAACTGAAAAACTATTGCTCCCACTGAATGTATAATATAGTTGGTTTGATTTTTATTATCTAATAAGAAGAATATTGGGAGGAAAATGCAATATGCCAGTTGGAAGTAGATGAGTACATGAATAAACCTAGAAAATTAGTCTGTTATGTTTATAATGGTTATAGTTATTGGGTTTGGGATTTGCTCATAGCATAATAATGTTTTAAACGATTATGTACCTCGTTGGATTGTAAAAATCTTCTTGTTTTCTAAAGCTTTACGTAGTATATCATATTGGTTGCATTCCTTGCTGATATTTATCCAAATGCTCAATATGCTAATGAAACACTGGGAATAATTCAAAGGTGTTCATTTGGATGCAATTATTTCCTTTTATAAATTACTTGTTACTCTGTAGAACATATTAGTAGAGATTATGACTAGAAAGAAGATCAGCATAAATCGTAAAATGGTGACTTTTAGGCAATAAAGTAAACATTGCCTCTTTGCGATATAAACGTGAGAATGATTCCTTCTTGATGGTTGTAAGCAAGGTTAATTACTTTGGTGCAATACATGTGTTACGCCACTGTAGTTTTACATAGAATCTATTCGAATATGGATTCTGTTTACAATCCTTCAATTTCTGGGAGTGAAGAATGTCTCTAGATTTTCTGTTTCTTCCCTCACCTAAGGTAGGAAATTTAGTTGCATGATGCAAAAGTCCTCTTCACTTCTATGAATCTTTTTTTCTTTTTTTCTTCACCATATTTTTTGAATCTTCTTGAATATGGATACAGGTTCATGGATGGGAGTCAAGAACATGGCTAGATATTTTTGGTTTGTCCCCTACTTTGATGTATAGTTTAGATTCGTTGCATGGTTCCAAAAATTAACCGCATTTCTTTTTTTGCTTGTATTCCTACACTCAATTTTATTTAGTTATTTATTCTTATTTTTTACGCCTTTTGTTGTTAAATACTTCCATTAGAAAACAATCAATTATCGGGGAAATTTTTTATGTGAATAAGTTTGTATTTAAATATATATATATATATATATATATATATTTCTTGTCTCTTAGTTGAATTCTACTCAATAGAACAAACATATAGTCCCAAAAACTTGGCATAGTATAAATAAATAAACAAAAACTTGGCACAGTATAAATAAACAATCTCCCTTTATCCATAGATAATTAATCACATGGTAGAACTACTCTTTATAGTAAATTTAACACGAAAGACTTTCACAAGGGTTTATTCAAGATATTTTAGATAGTAGAAGATATGCCGTAAATTGTTTTAAAATATGCAATAAGAGTGGGCAATGCCATTTTGTTTTTCTACATGTGCATATAAACTGATGGGAAAAAGTAAGCCTAAGTTTGACCAGCCGCCTTGACCAATTAGTTCCCTTCGATTCTATTTTCGTAGAAAAGAGGATAACAACAACATACGATGATGAGGAGGCTATTATCATTCAATTGACGAGAAATATGAGAGATAGGTTATAGAAGATAAACCAAATCTCCCCAATTGACATCTACGCAAGCGGATCTAAAGGCAACCTTAAATACGATAAAGAGTCATTAAACAAGGTATGAGAAAAAATTTCTGAACATTGAATACGTAATTAATTTTTTTGTTATACGATTCCAAGCATTGACTTGGTCGTCGGAGGGTCTTCGGCTGGCATCCCACGGGTGCCATCCGAGGTGACGTAATCTCCATTGTTTTGCAGGTAAACATCGCCGTTTTGGGTCGGGCTGATTTTCGTTGCAACAGCTAGCGCTGTCTGTGGGAAACGATCATTTCCCTGAAGATATAGTACTTTTGGTGCGATTCGGATCGGACGGCAAGACAAAGGTTTCCGATCATGGAAACCGTCCCGAAAGCATCCATTGTGAAGTGTCGCAACAACGGGTCCCCCGTTCTTATAGAAGGACAGGTCTCCACACCAAGATCCCCTATCCATGGTATAACAATGAATCACATGATGCCAATCTACATATGATGGCACGGTCCTGAAGCTGATGCGTCAAGCTCGGTATACCAAACCCAATCTCTCTTGCCAACCAATACTTGGCCCCTAACACTAACAAGGCCTAGTCTTCTGAAATCTTGGCACCAAGACCTGATCGTATAAGACCAAGGTCCAATTATCCAAAATCATAGCCTAGTAGGTCTCTACACACCAGGAAGGACTCTATGTCCAAGGGAGTTTCTACGATCAGGGAGTTCACCCCGTCCAAGGTGTTCCCAGGCCTAATGAGGCTTTTGACCATTGGGTGCCAAGAATGGTCTCTTTCACTGGCGAGTCTCAATCACATTAAGCTAGGGGTAGATTTAAGCCTCTAGTGAGGGTTCATCCAGATCGAGCCTTATAGTGGCATGGGTCACCCACATCAAGCCTTTGGCAAGGGCTCATCCATATCGAGCCTCACAATGGTATGGGTTTAGCAAGGGCTCATTCAGATCGAGCCTTACATTAGCATGGGTCACCCACATCAAGGTTCTGGCAAGGGCTCACTCAGATTTAGCCTTGCTGGCAATGCTCATTCACATCAAGCCTTTGGTAAGGCCTCACCCAGATCGAGCCTTGCAACATCAAAGAGAATCAGTCTCCTACCAGGGCTAGGCAAGTTTCCCACCAAGGCAAGACAATGTCTCCTCCCAAGGTAGGCAGGACTCCACCAAGACAAGAGGTTTTTCCACTAAGGTAAGGTAGATCTTCCATCAAGGGGTCTTCTATCAAAGCCAGCAGGTTTCTCACCAAGGCCAGGCCAGGTCTCCAACCAAGACTAAGTAGGTATCTCTAGCCAGTACTTAGACAATGCGTCGCCAAGACCTGGTCATCCAAGACCAAGGCCTGATTATCCAATACTATAGCCTAGTAGGCCTCCACACACCAGGAAGGATTCTATGTGTAGGGAAGTTTCTACGATGAGGGAATTCACCATGTCTGGGGTGATCCCCACACCAAGGAGGCTCTTGACCACCAGGCTCCAAGCCTAATGGGTCTCGGTCACATCATGTAGGGAAAATTTTAGCCACATCATCACGCCAAGCAATATAGGTTTCATCTATACCAAGCTTGCGAATTTCAACCATGCCGAGCTTGGTCTCAAACTTAGGTAGAAGATCCAAAGCCTTGAGCCCAAGAGAAATCAAAATATGATCTCAGAAAAGGGCAGTATAGGGGCACTGTAAATGTCGAAGGCCATTCGGCCAGGTCAGTATTAGTTAACCGTGCAGAGAGATACAACCACATCAAGAAGTATGATTAACATCTTAGAAACAGTTGCAGAGAAGGTAATGCCCATGCAGAGCATGTGGTATTTGCAGATAGACATCATTGATCATTTGCCATAAGGAAGAGGACAAAGATTTTGTCAATGAATAAGTCACTACCAAGGCATCCTCAAATACAATAAATCCCTTATTAAGGGCGAGCTCACGAAGCTCAGAAAAAATAACTCCCTTAATAAAGGTAAGCTCATGAAGCTAAAATAAAATAAATAAAAAAAGTCTTTTCATTTATTAAAGGGCAAACTCATAAAACTCAGGCAAAACAACACCTTATTAAAGGGCCAGGTGAGCTGGGCGAAGCTTGTAAGAATTAAACCCTTTATTAAAAGGGTGAGTTGAGTGAAACTCGTAAAAACTAAACCATTTATTAAAAGGGTGGGTTGGGTAAAGCTCAAAATTATTATTCCCTTTGATAAGGGGCGAGTTGAGTGAAGTTTGAAAAACTTCCGAGTAGAGCTCGTAAAACACACACATATATAATATGTTGATTCCAAAGGAAATCCAATTATGACCGTGCATCGGTGTTGAGTGTGGAATTTGAACACACGCCCTTAAAAAATAATCCGAACCTTTATATGACGTACGGTTGTTCACCTCGGAATAATAGCCATTCACCTTGAGAATAGACTAGTACCCGAGGTAGATTTTTTTTTTTTTTTTTGATAAGTAAAAAGTATATTTGAAGAGTGTTCAAAGGGGAGCGCGTCCCTAATACAAAAACGAAAAAATGATCTAAGTACCAATAGCATCCAATAAATCAAGAAAGTCATCAATCGTGGAGCAGGCACTTCATCTTACATAACAGAAAAGCGAACGAAGAATATGAATTTTTAGATTTGCTAAAAACGATTCCTTTCCTTCAAAATTTCTGTTATTCCTCTCTCACCAAAGATACCACCAAACACAATGTGGAACAATCCTCAAATAATCACGAGCTTGACCTTAAACTGGGCATCGTCTCTATGCGTTAATCAGTTGTAATGAGTGCTTAGGCATAACCCAAAAAATGCCAAACATACTAAAGATGATATTCCAACAATCGTACGCCACAAAACAGTACATAAGAATGTGATCCACGGATTCTCCATCTGCTTTACATAGACAGCACTAGTTAACAATAATGTTACCTCTTTTTCTTAAGTTATCCAAAGTCATAATCTTTCCCAATGTAGTAGTCCAAATGAAGAATGCAATTCTGAGAGGAGCTTCAGAACGCCAGATAGACTTCCACGGGAAATCGTAACTAACAAAATTGGACAAACGCAAAAACATGGATCTGACACCATAGCAACCATGGGTTAAAGGGACCCACCAAATAACATCACACCCGCTACCAACATCCTTTTGTTTATACAACAGATCCAAAAAAACACATGCTTCCTCAATCTCCCAATCCTGAAAGGAGTGCCTGAAACGCATATCCCACGTAACCCCACTATTATTAAGATGATAACAGTTAATTACATAGGCGTGCTTATTGTCAGCAATACTGTAAAGTCTAGGAAAGGAGTGAGACAATAGCTGATCCCCGCACTATAAGTCCTCCCAAAAACGAACATGCCTACCATCATGAACCTTGAATCTAATATGTGGAGAAAATATTGCAACCCTTCCGAATGAATTTCCATACACCAACGCCTCCCGTAACAGAGACTGGATGAGAGGACCAGTCCCCACTCTCCTCTCCAAGTTGACACGAGACAACTCTTCTCCACTGGCGATGGCATTCCTTACCAAATCTCCAAAGCCACTTTCCCAAAAGGGCTCTATTAAAAGGGACTAGCTTTCGAATGCCTAAACCGCCTAATCTCAACGGCGTACAAACTTGTTCCCAATTAACAAGATGATAGTTAAACTCCTCACCTCTTCCGCCCCAAAGAAAATCCCTCTAGATTTTTTCAATCCTTTTAGCAACAGAATATGGGATTTTAAACAAAGATAAAATATAGGTAGGAAAGGACGAGATAGTACTCTTAATGAGAGTGACTTTCCCCCCCTTTGAAAGATACTGCTTTTTCCATCCTGCTAGTCTATTCTCATATCTATTAATCACTGGATCCCAGTTCCCTACTCTCGTGGAGGAAACTCCCAAAGGCAATCCCAAATAAGGAAGAGGAAAAACGTCCACCCCACACCTAAGAACTGCAGCTAAGGAGGAAATATCTGGAACATCCCCCACTAGGACAAGCACACTCTTTTCAACATTGATCTTAAGTCCAGAAACCGCTTGGAAACAAGCAAGAATGCACCTCAGATTTCTGAGTTGGGAGGCATCGGCATCGCAAAAAACTAAAGTGTCATCTACAAACAATAAATTAGAGATCTACATCTAATGTTCAACATCTCTGCCAACTCTAAATCCCCTGATGTAACCCAAATCTTCTGTTTTTCTCATTAATCTACTCAATCCCTCCATAACAATAAGGAATAGAAAAGATGATAATGGGTCTCCTTGTCTCAAACCACGCGAACTAGCGAAAAAACTAGCAGGGGAACCATTCACAAGCACAGAGAACATCACGGACGAGGTACAAGTTTATATCTATTTTATCCACCTATCATCGAACCCCATCCTCTGAAGCAGATAAAGAAGAAACTTCCAATTAATGTGATCATATGCTTTCTCAATGTCAAGCTTGCATAAAATGCCAGGAACCCACTCTTTAATCTAGAATCAACACATTCCCCTGCAATAAGAACAGAATCCAAAATCTGCTATCCTCCAACAAAAGTATTTTGAGATTCTGAAATAAGTCCATCCAAAACATTGCTCATCCTAAAGACAAGAACCTTGGCAATAAGCTTATACATGCATCCCACTAAACTGATTAACCGAAAGTCCTTAAAATTAGAGGCGCCGCCCTTCTTAGGAATAAGGGCAATAAAAGATGCGTTTAGTGATTTCTCAAATGTGCCATCAGAATAAAAATCCTGAAAAGTGCCCATCACCTCGGTTCACACCACCGCCCAACTCTCCTTAAGAAATCGCATAGTAAACCCATTTGGTCCTGGAGCTTTATCACCATTACAGCTAGATAGTGCCTTAAGCACTTCCTCTTCAGTGAAAAAAGACTCAATCCTATCAATGTCCAACGCGAAAATAGAATTAAATAGAAGGCCATCAAGTGTAGGTCTCCATCCCAAAGTCTCAATGTAGAGCTGCTGATAAAAAGAAACAATTCACCCCTGCACCTCATCCTCTCTTCACAGCTCAGAACCATTCACACTGATACGCCCGATGTGATTACATCTTCTATATGCGTTGGCAAGTCTATGAAAGAATTTTGTATTACGATCTCCTTCTTTTAGCTACGATTCCCGAGACTTCTGACACCACGAAATCTCCTCCATAACAGCAATCTCAGCAAAAATCGCCTGGCAAGAGGTTCTTCTAGAGCGTAAAGACTCTACATCTTGCCCCACCTCTTCAAGACGATCAAGCTCAATAATATCAACAAGAACTCTATTCTTCTTCCATTCAAGATTCCCAAACACCTCTTTGTTCCACTTCTTCAACTCAGTTTTGAGAATCTGAAACTTCCTAGCTGACACAATGCTCGAGGTAGAATTGATCACAACAAACGTATTATCCTCAAAGAGAGTCAAGCGAGGAAGTATTTGTTCAGTGTGGGATTTGAACCCATGCCCTTTCAGACGAGGACGGTATTATGTTACCACCTTTGAATCTCCAAAAAAAATCATGCGATCACGTGGTGGGAACCCACGCCCTTCCAGACTAGAACCTTGATCCGTGTTCTGGATAAGTTACCTGAGGAACTGTACCTAAAGTAAAAAAAGGGGCTGCATTCCAATTTGTACAAAACTTTGTGTAAGGTGGGATTTGAACTTATGCCTTTTCACTCTATAACTTTTTGGCGTATCGCTGTACCAAATGTAAAAAGTAGCCAAGGTAAAAAAAAGTCACTATTCACCTAGGGAATATTACGTAATATGACAACGTACCAGAGGTAAAAGGTACATGAGGTAAAAAAGGCACTATGCACCTCGGGAATAGTACCCAGGTGAAACTATTCAGCTCGGGAAACGTACCGAGGGGTAAAAAAAAATGTTAGATTCCCAAAAGAGAATCAAGTGATCACACGGTGGGATTTGAACTCACGCCCTTTTGCACATAGGGACCGTTTCATAGGTACAACACCGTAACATGGAACTGATCCCATTGTTAAAAAAAAATTTACCTCGGGAGTAATACCCTAGGTAAAACTATTCACCTCGGGAAACGTACCTTGATGTAAAAAAATAAATTCTTTATATTTCCTAACCTGTTCCAACTAACAAATATGGGCAACTGATGGGGAAAAAGTAAACCCTAAGTTTGACTAGCCGCCTTGACCAATTAGTTCCCTTCTACTCTCTTTTCTTCCCTTCTAGCTTTTCATGGAAAAGAGGATAGCAACAACATACGATAATGAGGAGGCCATTATCATTCGATAAATATGAATCTCTCCAATCGACATCTACGCAAACGGATCTAGAGGCAACCTTAAATACGATAGAGAGTCATTAAACAAGGTATGAGAAAAAACTCTTGAACATTGAATACATATTTAATTTTTCTGTTATACGATTCCAAGCAGTGACTTGATCATTGGAGGGTCTTCGGTCGACACCCCACCGGTGCCATCCGACGTGACATAATCTCCATTGTTTTGCATGTAAACGTCGCCATTCTGGGTTGCGCTGATTTTCACTTCAACATAAGCCATAATTAAATTGACAATTGGAATATGTTACTTGGTATAACAACCATTGCTGTTTAAAACGAAAGATTTAGAATATTTACATATTGAATCTTCCTTTACTTGAAGTTTTAGGTTTGAGAACTCCACATGTTATTTAGTGACAGTGTGACAGAAACTATTTTCTTTTTCTAGTCATCCGAACTGCTCCCTCTGGTCACCTAGATCATATGTTCTTGATGTAGGATAAAAAAGAGCTTTGTTACCAACTGATGCATGAGAGAGAAGAGAAATAGAGGAGAGAGGAGAACAGATAGAAGAAGTGGATGATACAGAAGAAGTGCGGAGAGAAAGCAATTTAAGGATGGGAATCATATCTCAATAATAAATATTCAACAATGGGTTTGGTGGTGGTTCTGCCACCAAGGTTGGAATGGAATCGACAAGGAAATGTCTTCCTTGACACAACTAGAGGAGGAGAAATGCATGGCTTCTGAAGGAAGAGATATTGTTTTTGTCTACAATGGATTTTGTTTTGGGGTGAAAATTTGAGTTTAATTTCTCGTTATCATTGCTAGCTATTTACTGTTGCTGAAGGTAAAACTTTTGATGCCATTTCTGGGTACATTTTGAACCACTGGAATGTCAATCATTGTAACACAAAACTGCAGATGAATACATACTCAAATTACAAAATTTATATCATTAAATTTGTTAGTCACAGCTTCTATTCAGTTAATCTAAGATTCCCATTGGAGATTGATTCTTTTCATTTTATTAATATGTTACATGCTAATTTAACATAGAAACATACATGAATACTTTCAAATTTACTCTAAAAACTTGCTTGTTTGGAGCTTTCTTCCCTTAGCGAAGTAGTTGCTTAGTAATTGACTCTATACAGGATCTATGATTGGTATGCTTATTCAATGTTTTAAATTGCTAACAATGAATGATTTTAGGCATGGAAGCAATAATTCAGTGGTTCTTATTTGCTTATCATGCTCTTCAACTGGTTGGTTTATGATGTGGGGTGTGTGTGCGCGTGTTTTTTTTTTTTTTTTTTTTTTTGGGAAGAACTTTTTCAATCGGGTTCTCTGTATTCTAGTGGTCATTTATCAATATCATAAAAAACGTCATGCTGCTGACCTGCAGTTCCATCATGATTTCATTCATTTGAAATTGTATTCATTTATAATCAATTGTCAATTACTCGAATGTTTCTGAAAGGAAAAACATTGCAATGCAGGCAGAGCAGACTAAGGAGAGGTTTAAGCAGGTATGGTACTCTCTGTATGTCAGTTTGTGATGCTTCATTCTGCATACATTGAATTTTCTATGATAAATATAAATACGAATTTTTAGTTCTTTTTTTCTTTTTATTTCCACCTAATGTTAACTGTCCATGTCAAATTAGATGTCTATTAGTGTTTGAGTTTTTCATTTTTCTTTGTAGGCTTGTATCCCCTTTCTTATGTAGCCATTTTTTTAGGTTGCCTAGTGAAGTCTTATGGCTGTAAGCGTTGTGCATTGATGGCAATACTTAAAGAAAGAATTGAAGGGGGAAAAAAAGAAAGAATATATATATATATATATATATATATATATATATATATATATATATATATCTATTATCTTGACATGGTTCGTGCAATATGAAGGTTTTACATTTCCTTATTGTGAGTACATTTTACATGTAATTCGGTGGGTCTCTACTAATAGTGGAGATACATCTAATTAATGGATTGATAAAAGTTCTAACCATATGCAAGCTTGGGTGAGAAAACTGAAGAACTGGTTTTCTCACTAAATGGATATGATGGCTCGATTATTGGTGGGGAATTTTTTTTATGTGAATAAGTTTGTATTTTAAAAAAAATTATTGCTCGTCTCTTAAAGGCATAGGGCAACCCTGATAGAACCCTTATTACTATATATTCGAAAATGGATATTGTCAAAAATGATAAACAACAAAATATAAAAATAGATACTTAATAACATAATTCCTAAAATTAGAAGAAAAAACCCTAAAAAATAAATAAACATTTACTTCTACAATTGAGATAGGTACATGTATGATGCCATGGCATATGACTATGAACTCCCTCCTGATCTAAATCAATTCTACCGGTGGAGAAGAACTTGTCCCGTGATCGTGAGAGTTATAGTGGTAGTATAGCTTTGAAGGATCAAGATCAATGCATTGGTACACTGTAGTCTTTATATGACTCATCTTACAAATATACTTGCCTCTACTTTTAAAACAGATTAATGATTTCTAACAGGCTTCCTCACAAAGATGTAGAATATCCCTTCCTCATCTTGGAGGGAGACAAACTGGAGACTACTTTTCACACAAACTATGATAGAACAAATTTTGATCTGTTTTGAGGAGTATAAATGTTTAGGTTTGGTGTTTGTTACACCCTCCATCATTAAGATGAAAATTTTAGTTACATAGTAATCCATTCCTCAAGAAAGAAACATCTGCCAAAAGTGACTTAACCCTCTTGAGATGTTTTAATGAATTCGTTTCCAATGATTAAAGACTGTACTTACAGTATATCTGTGCTAGGTGAAGATCATGATAGTTAATTTAGTTTATTGTAAACTGAATTCAGTATTTTATTGAATTAGTGATAATAAACATGCAACTTTGTTCCCTATCCAATTTGTTTTGCAGTCTTTCTTGTGGACATAAAATGAGATAAAATTGATTAAAATGGTTTGGACATGTAAGAAGATCATTAAGTGTGACAGTGACATGGTTCACATTGAAGGTAATGCTAGATGTAAGGAAAGACCAAAATTAATATAGCTAGAGTTAGTAAAGAAAAATATGATTACACGTGGTTTGACCTAGGCTATGACCTTAAATAAAGTAAAATGTAAAAATAGGATTCTTGTAAGCAACCCCAACTAGTTGAGAGAAGACTTCGTTTGTTATTTGTTGTATTCTTTCTTGTGTTTGATACTGATATATGTTGTGTTTGTGGTCCAACTTGTACTTTCATTTCAATATATTCACGATAGCTTTAGTACTCCATTATGTTGCTGAGTTCTACATAAAAGAATGCTTTCTGGTTTAAGACTAGTATGTGCTCTCTGATGGAAAGTAGGTCCATGCAATCAAGTAAGTACAAGTCTGCAGAAGTGCAAGTCTGTAGATTCTTTTGATTGTATTATATATAAGCTACATTATCAAAGAATTTATATAACGTGTTTACGGGCACACAATTGAACTTAGCTTCCATTTGAATCATTTCTCTCTCTCTCTCTCTCTCTCTCTCTCTCTCTCTCTCTCTCTCTAGGTGTGTGAGGATTGCTTTCTAGAAAATAGACTTTGTGTGATAGTCATCTCATGATCATAATGGGAAAATACTTCAATACTTGTTATGAATACATAAATAAAGAAATATATAATGAGACCTACCCAAAGTGATAATAAGAAAGGGAGTAGTTTTATTCACTGAAAGAGATATATACCCAATACAGTATTCCACTACACATATTTATAGATACATTGCCGCATTACACTCATCAATTACATGACTCAACCAATTACTAGGTCACATGTCACCAAACCAATTACCTGCTTACAAATAATAAGTCCAACATAGCATATATGCATTACTAAGACTAGTCACACGGTCCTTCAGCATTCACACCATTCACAACCCTGGGTACTCACCGCCTCAATTGCTTATACTCATTGGATTTCGGCACCTTCATCTTGCTCCAATCAGGTGGTTAAACATCACTCCACCAATCAGGTGGTTAAACATCACCGCCTCCAATGCTTGTATATGCATTAGTATACTAATTACACAAGTGCACATCATAATACCAATTGCATCAATACACATATTGTAAAGTGATGGGTGGTGGACCTGTGATGGTTTTGCACTTTTTCATTTTTCTGGATATTTTGGCATTTATGTATTTTTATTTTTTGACGGGACCATGATTATTTTGTGGGATACCCCTCGGATCCGAGACACGGGTTGATCAGGCCCAAGCCCAAACCCGAGGGAAATATCAAACAATTAATATGTAATACGAACACAGATGACAAAATGAATTTGATAAATAAAGTTTAAGCTGAAAGAAAACAAAATATAAAAACCTTTAATATTAAATATACTTAAATCTCAATAATTCAAAACCTCCATAAGTTAACAACTCGGGAATTCATCTCCAGTGGACCCCTAAAAACCAAACTAAAATGAAAGTAAACTGAAGATAAAATCCAAATCAAATATCTGGAAAGAAGTCCTACATCGTCGGTAGAATGGAAGATCTTCTCTGCCCAGCACGAACAAGCTCAAGCCTGGAACTGACGAACACCTGGAAAATAGGAGTGGGTCAGGCCCACGAACAAGTTCTAACCCACTACAATCCAAGCAGAGACTCGATACGCATATACACTCTAACCAACTCAACAATAACTATATAAGTCTATATATATATATATCCATACTATGGACTCTCGCTGGATTATGATATGGGTCTCAACCTGAGTAGAAAGCAACATGCAAAACGCATCTGAGTGGGCATGACTACCTAAGCCTAACAGGGTACACCACAACCAGCATAGCCAGCTACGTATCCTACTGCATATACGCTCCTTAACCGTCGACTCTGAGACTCAAGCTCATGTCACGGTACCATAATAATATATTTAAAATCCGTTCATAACAATTCATAATAAATCTAGTAAGTCGTTCAGCTTATTCAACTGCACAGACTTAACATAGATAACCAGTAATCCAGCTAGTCATTCAGCTTGTGCAGCTTCTTTGACTTAGCCTAAATATAAGTATGATTTATTTTTAATCCATTCCCTTATTCCGTATAGGTAGGATATAGCAATTTTGAGCCAATCCAAACCTACTATGTCACCGTCCCATACCGGTGCATACAATCCAATCCATCCGGCAGTTAATAGAATAAATAAAAATATAACTATCAACTAATCCATACATTCCACAATTGACAATAAAACATTAAGTACAAATATCAATTGTTCCATATTAAGCATGATAAAATAATTGTCAATTAACAAGCTTAATCCATACTACTCTGAAATGTCCACTAATTGATATTACAGGTTATACACGTAAACCAATTAATTCTAACCAACCATAACAGAAAATAAATGTTCACAAGCTTATTTTTAGTAATTCTGGAACATGACTAACTGCAAAACATCACTAAGAATTTTAATACCAAAGCTTAAACCTCTTGCAGCTCCTCCCATCCAAACTGTAAACCAACTTAGGGCTAAATAAGCATACTAAACCATTTAAATCCACACGCTTATTTTATAACATTGGGGTAGGTTTAATTGAGAATTTTATTACCAAGAACTGCTATTCTAAGTGTTAAGTAATTCTGCATCCTTTTATAACAAAAACACAGTAAACTGATTAATTAAGCATTGCCCACTATCGCATTAAAACAAAGTTGTTTTATTTTGCATATATCTTCTCTCAAGGATTTTAATCAAGCTTAGACCACCTTTAAACACCTCAGTATAGCCTCCAACAGAAACTAAAAATCTCAAAATCCGAGTTCCGTAGCCAAATCAATCGCAGAAAACTTAAAACTGGAAGTCGGTTAAAGAGCCTGCTCTTTCTTACTTGGAGGCAGCTCTCCTTGTCTTGGAGGCGGCTCCAAGACCCCTTCGAGCCGGCTCCATGTTCCCATGGAGCCTGCTCTTTGCTCCAAAGGGCCGGCTCTTTGAAATCTTGAGCCGTCTCTTCTCTGTTCTTCATCCTTTCCACATCCGGTGTGTTTCTGTTGATCTGAATTCCATTCCTAAGGTACTTAGATGATTAAACTAGGTTCCAAGTTAATCCATAATTCACTAAATTCTTTGTTCAATTTCTAAACTCAACTAATAAATGGATTTTGCAAAAAAGAATTTAATACGAGCAGTTTTAGCATTCCTGAGCATCGACTGTTGTAGCAAAACAAACTTGCAACCTAAATTAATTCTAGTGCTTCCCAACATATTATAAAACTAATTAAAATCATTATTCATTAGTTTACATGAATTAAATAGATGTTACACAAGGAAGAAATTAAAACAAACAGTACACACGTTTCAACTATAATCAGTTTTAAAACAACAGAGGTACTAGAAATTCAGTTTAACTTTAATCCTTAACAGTTCCCTGGAATTGTGTTAGACGTGCAAAGAACACGAGCCTAAGGGAAAGGGATAGGTTTAGAACTTGCCTTTAGGTCTCAATTTGAAACCTTGCACCGTTGCTTCCTAAATTCTCCGGCAAACTCCGACTACTGTAAGCCTTCCTCTGTTCTCTCTCTCTGCCTCCACCGACGAGTTTAAGTTCTAAAACCCTAGGTAAAACCTTAATGTATATATTTATAGGATTAAGGTTACCCTAATTCTAGTCCTAATACTAGATAGGAAACTAAGTCGGCTAAAGGAAAAAAAAACAAAACCCTAAGTTCAATTAACGAAAAATAGAAAAATAAAATACCATTTAATAATTAATTCAATTAACGAAAAATAGAAAAAGAAAATACAATTTAATAACTAATTAATTAATTCACAAACTACCACTAAATAAATAAAAACAAATAAAGTCACACTTAATCAACAAATTCACAACTAAATAAATAAAAACACAAATAAATAAATAAATAAGCCATTAAGCAATTAATTAAGTAACATGACTAATTAAACAAATAAACCTTAAAACTATTACGCAAATAAGCAAATAAAATGCAAATAAGCCATAAATCAAATTCCAGGAATAACCTTTTAAAATTAGGGGTATTACATTCTTCTCCCCTAACAAAAGGAATTCCGTCATCGGAATTCGCTCTTACCTTCATCCAATATTTCAGGAAACTGCGAGCGAATGACATCCTCCCGTTCCCAAGTGGACTCAGCCTCATTGTGATGACTTCACTGCACACGAACCAAAGGGATAACTTTATTGCGAAGGATTTGATCCTGACGATCAACAATACAACATGGTGGCTCCAAATAAGTTGCATCCGGCTGCAACTCAATCTCCCCAACATCGATATGCTGATACCGATCCTCATCTCGCAGAAATTTCCGCAACATGGACACATGGAATTCGTTGTGTACGCGGTCCAAATTATCCGGCAGTGCCAACCGATAAGCAACAGCTCCAACTCGATTCGTAATCATGAATGGACCGACAAACCGCGGAGACAACTTCCCTTTCTTCCCAAAGCACATAACACTCTTCATAGGAGATACTTTGAGAAGAACCTGATCCTCAACCCGAAACTCCAATGCACGAGTGCGACGATCAGCATAGCTCTTCTGCCTACTTTGGGCAGTACGCATGCGATCTCGTATAAGAGCAATCTTTTCAGAGGTTTCCTTGATGAACTCAGGACCTAAGAATCGATTCTCTCCAACCTCCATCCAACAAACAGGTGATCGACACGGTCGACCGTATAACGCCTCAAAAGGTGCCATCCCAATAGTCTTCTGGAAACTATTGTTATAAGCAAACTCCACAAGTGGCAAATATTCCTCCCAGTGGCCCTTGAAATCTAGAACACACGACCGAAGCATATCTTCCATAATCTGATTCACCCTCTCAGTTTGTCCGTCAGTCTGAGGATGATAAGCAGTACTAAGGTGTAACTCCGTACCTAAAGCCAGCTGAAAACTCTTCCAAAATCCAGATACAAAGCTCGAATCGCTGTCCGATATAATAAACAATGGAATGCCATGTAGCTTCACAATCTCTGAAATGTAAAGCCTCGCCAACTGCTCCGAAGTGTAGTCAGTGCAAATAGGCAAGAAATGAGCTGACTTGGTCAACTTATCCACAATGACCCATATGGAATTATGCCCCTTGAAAGAATTTGGCAACCCTTCCACAAAATCCATAGATATGCTCTCCCATTTGCACTTCGGAATTGGTAGTGGCCGTAGAGCTCCTGGCGGCCTCCGATGATCAATCTTAACCATCTGACAAGTACTACACTGAGAAACAAAAAGAGCAATGTCCCTCTTCATACCTGCCCACCAAAACTGCCGCTTTATATCTTGATACATCTTATCGCCTCCTGGATGAACAGAGAACTCAGAGTGATGAGTCTCAGTCATCACATCCTTCCTCAAATTATCAGCAGAAGGTACCACTAACCGTCCCTTGTACCTTAAACCTCCATCAGCCCCAACATAGTAGAATGGAACCTCTCCGGAAGCTATCTCTGCGACCTTGTCGACACACTGCTGATCGGTGAGTTGTGCTTGTAAAACCCTGCGAATGATGGAAAGTGTAACCACCATGCAAGCCATAAAAGCGTCTGACAACTCATCTACATTCTTCAAAGCATTCCACTCAGTAGTGAATAGAGCAGAAAGACTACCAACAGGTCGGCGACTGAGTGCATCCGCCACTACATTTGCTTTCCCTGGATGGTACTGATAGAAAAATGATAGTCTTTTACAAACTCCAACCACCTGCGCTGTCTCATATTCAGCTCCCGCTGAGTGAACAAGTACTGCAGACTCTTGTGATCACTAAATAATCTGAAGGACTCACCCAACAGATAATGCCTCCAAATACGCAAGGCAAAAACCACTGCTGCCAACTCCAAATCATGTGTTGGATAATTAAGCTCATGAGGCTTAAGTTTCCGAGATCCATAAGAAATCGGTCGCTCCTCCTGCATCAATACACATCCAAGACCCTGCAACGAAGCATCCGTATAAACAAGATACTCTATCCCGCTCTGCGGAGTAGCCAGAACCGGTGCAGAAGTCAGCTTCCTTTTCAGCTCATCAAAAGCTCGCTGACAGTGTTCATCCCACACGAACTGTACACCCTTCTTGGTCAGATGAGTGAGTGGTCCTGCTATCTTGGAGAACCCCTGGATGAATCTCCTGTAATATCCTGCCAGACCGAGAAAACTCTGAATCTCAGTAGGTGATGTAGGCTGTCCCCACTCAACCACCGCTGAAACCTTGGCTGGATCCACTGCTATCCCCTTTTCTGACACCACGTGACCCAGAAATTTCACCTCCCGCTGCCAAAATTCACACTTCTCGAACTTGGCATATAACTGGTGCTCACGAAGCGTCTGCAAGACTATGCGAAGATGTCTAGCATGATCGTCCTCCGACCGAGAATAGATCAAGATGTCATCAATAAAAATAATAACAAACTGATCCAAATAAGCCCAGAAGACTCTATTCATTAAGTCCATGAATACTGCAGGTGCATTAGTCGTCCCAAACGGCATAACACGAAACTCATAAGAACCATATCTCGTGAGAAATGCTGTCTTAGGAACATCCTGCTCCCTAACCCTCAGCTGATGATACCCAGAACGCAGATCAATCTTGGAGAAGTATGTGGCTCCCCTTAACTGATCAAACAAGTCATCAATCCTAGG